GGGGGCCCTGCCTGGCGCTGCTGGGGGCAGGGGAGCCCACAAGGGGGCCGCCCTGTCCCAAATCCTCCCTCTCACTCCCCTCCCGCCCCCAGGTGCGCACGCTGCTCCATGACGGGCTGGAGGACGGGATGAAGAAATACAACGACTCAGTTGTCCGGCAGGCCATTGACGACCTGCAGAAGGAAGTGAGTGGGGCCAGGCGCTGCGACCTTTGACCTCTGCGACCGGTGGGGCGTTGCAGGCCCTGGTTCCAAATGCTGGACCGAGTTTTCCCTCTCCCAGCTGGGGAGGAAGCCCAGGAGTCCCGACTCCCAGGAGTCCCGACGGGATGAAGAAATACAACGACTCAGTTGTCCGGCAGGCCATTGACGACCTGCAGAAGGAAGTGAGTGGGGCCAGGCGCTGCGACCTTTGACCTCTGCGACCGGTGGGGCGTTGCAGGCCCTGGTTCCAAATGCTGGACCGAGTTTTCCCTCTCCCAGCTGGGGAGGAAGCCCAGGAGTCCCGACTCCCAGGAGTCCCGACTCCCAGCTGCCTGATCTAACCACTAGACCTTGTGCCCCTTGACGTGCCAGGGTGGGGCTGGGTAGCTCCTGTTTGCTCTGAATAACTCCCCAGACTGGTTCGCCATCCCCCCGTTCAAGGCCAACAACAGCGTCCCCAGTTCCTGCTGCTGGGCGAACGCTACCTCCCTCGACACCTGCGGCCGTAATCCGCCTCAGTCCATCAACACCGGGGTGAGTTCCAGCCTAGGGCTGCAGGGGGCTGGGGCACACAGGGCGAGAGCAGACGGGGCAGGAGCCCTGAGCTGCCCCTCTGTCTTCCCTGGCAGGGCTGTGTGAAGAGCATCGAGGCCTGGCTGAGGAAACACATTGTGATCGTGGCGGCCGTGGCGCTGGGCATCGCCTTCTTTGAGGTACCGAGCGCTGCAGAAGGCAGCCTGGGGGGGCTGCGGGCGGGGTAATCCCCTGCCCGAGACCCTCCAGCTGGGCTGGGCGTGCAGCTGGGGGGCCAGGCAGGGAGCTTGGCGGGTGAG